AGACACTGACTCTATCTCAGATCCAAACACATGTTGCCCTAAAGCCAGATTGACCTTTTTACTTTTTTCATCTTTTCTCCACCTTTGAACTGAGATCATTGTCACCTCAGTCCACTGCGCTCATCTAATATACGGACACATCATCAGAGATCAACAYAAACTAATGGCAGGAAGGGGAGAGTGGGCTGTGAGGGGTGGACAGAGGGACCATGGATGACGTCATCACACCCAAGATTCACTGATCGTCAGTAGGTTGTGTGGAGGAAAACACAAATCAGATGGTTTCACTCAATAAATCAAGATTTGTAAAACTAACAGAGTATAAAAATGCAACAGATTWAATTTTTGAGCTTGTGGGGTGGAAGGATTGAAAGTCAAACATTTTGGACTGAACTGAARGATTCAGTGCTGGTTTGATTTGATAGAGGTGACCTTTCGAGGTAAATGAATACAGAGCWTTTTACACCTGATGTATAAACCTGYTGGAGGCAGTTAAGTGCCCTAAACAAGCTGGAGGGTAGATATTTTAACATCCAAATCCAAATTTAGATAGTTCAGTCAAAAAATGTAAACAAAGTTTTAAGGAACAAAAAGTCATAAAAATAGCAAAAGACATGAAATATTGATTATTTATTTTGATATCATTTTGAGGATATTTTTAAATGTTTAAACAGTTAAATTAAAATCATTTTATTTAAAGTGTTCTGATATTATGCTTCAGTTGCCTTAAAAATTGGAATGTATGAAATCACACATCAGAGGGAGATTACCGTTTGCTTTCCAAGTTGGATAGCAAAATAGGATTTACAGTGACCAGACTAAGATTAACAAGTTGATAAAAACATATTATATATATTTTTGTGCATAAAATATAATTGCAAGATGTTCAGATAGTAAAAGTTGGACAAAACTACCTCTGTGTCTGATTTAATAAGATATAAATAAATCAAAGGAATTGTTGACAATTTTGCTGAAGATTTTGTCACCCACAGGAGATTTAATTCTATGCTGCGACTGCAAAATTCTCTACATAAAACTCCAAACACATTTTTTCCCCAGTTAGACCCCACCCCCGCTGTTTCTTGGACTTCTCTGCAAACTATTTTCTGTCGTTTCATCAATGCCCCCATCTGATTGTCTGGCAGCTGCAATTTAGCTTGCATTGTGAAACACACACGCAATTTGTTTAGCTGTACTCATGGGGACTTTGCATTGCCTTCCATTCATTTACCAGTCATTTCTWAACCGAAACTCATTTCACACCGTAGTCCAAACCCTAATCCCTGACCCACCAATGGTATTTCTCCTGATGGGGACTGGGCTTTTGTCCCTATAAGTAACAGTGGGTCCTCACAAGACTGCATGTACTGGGAATATTGTCAAAAATTGTCCCCACCAGGTAAAAAAAAAACATGTAAACACACACACAAACAGGCCTACTCTATATGATGGTTCGAGAGCACAAAAGTCCCCACGAACGACTGGCAGGCAGGCAATGCGAGAGAAAAACAGATCATGTGAGAATGGAAGAAAAGAAAAGAAAGACAAGTTTCAAAGAATGGCAGAGAAAAATACAGTCAGATTGTGTGCAGGCTGTCACAGATGTCCACAATTTCTTTCTTGTTTTTACTCTCTTTCTTTTTTATGCTCTTCCCTTTGGATCTGGATCTGGATCTGTGGTCCAAATGTAAATGGCACTAATGCTGACGAGTGAGCAGAGTCAGGTGTCGTGTCAGCCGTGTCACAMTGAAGACAGTAACACATCTGGCATTAACCTCAACAGATCGGAAACACCCAAATGTTGCAGAACACATCGTATGACATACTGCCGTTTCTCGTGTGTGTGTGTGTGCGTGCGTGCGTGCATGCGTCCGTGCGTGTGTTTGTTGTTTGGTAGAGGAGCATMCAAACTCACTTTCAGGTTGACTGATAAGAATCTGCTTTCACATTCTCCTTCTTACTGCTTTCCTCTAATAATCTCTCCTTCAGCAACAGCACTRTTTGCTGATTTTTCTTTTCTTTTTTATTCAGTGTGCTGTTTTGTGGTCCACAAACGGTGCCATGAGTTCGTCAGCTTCTCCTGTCCYGGAGCCGACAAAGGTCCCGACACAGATGTAAGTTCAAACTAAGGTTCTAACTCRGCTGTTAAATGTCTCAAAGCAATGATTCTGTGACACGAGACAAAGGACATCCAGGTGAAGATGTGCTGAAGGTTTAAGTGTGTTTGTTYGCAGCAGGTGTTGTGTTGAACTGTGCTTTCTTTACGATTGTGGACCTAAACGGGCAAACAAAAGAGAGTATTGCACCAGCTGAGCAACCGGGTTGGAAGCTTTGCCACACAGTTATGTTTCTGTTCATGTCATTTTATTAGAAATATAGTGGGGTTAGACAATGAAACTGAAACACTTGGTTTTAGACCATAACATCCCTTTCAGACAGCTTCCTCTTGCGTCCACAGTTAATCCTGTTGGATGTGGTTCGTCCTTCTTGGTGGTATGCTGACATTACCCTGGATACCGTGGCTCTTGATACATCACAAAGACTTGCTGTCTTGGTCACAGATGCACCAGCAAGACGTGCACCAGCAATTTGTCCTCTTTTGAACTCTGGTATGTCACTCATAATGTTGTGTGCATTGCAGTATTTTGAGCAAAACTGTGCTCTGACCATGCTAATTGAACCTTCACACTCTGYTCTTASTRGAGCAATGTGCAATTAATGAAGGTTGGCCACCAGGCTGGTCCAATATAGCCATGAAACCTCCCAAACTAAAATGACAGGTGTTTCAGTTTCATTGTCTAACCCCTGTGCTTTGGCATAAATGTGGAGAATTTTTATTCTTGTTTCTTTTGCACTTTATAGGTGGTTCCTTATTGTTTTCATCTCAACAGTTGTTTTTTGGTTTAGTTTAATTCAAGTTAATTCAAGTGAAGTTTTAATATATTGTATATTTTTCGGCAGTTTGTAAAATTTTTGAATTAACCATTCGTTTAGAAAGTTTATGTTTATGTTAAGTGGGATGGATAAAGAACCCACATGAGCGAGGGCCTCATAAATGGGCCCATGCATTGCTCTCCCCAAAAAGACAGAGCTTTAATCAAACCTTTGCACCCCTTGAATGAAGGACACAAGRATAGAAACACTCAGTAGTCTAAAGTTTTCAGGACTAAAGAGGTCCCCAATAATTATTTTTCTTTGTCTACTCAGAGTCAGCCAGTGGTCCAAGTAGTGGAAAGTGGTCTCTAATTCAATGCCACAGGCAGCACGCAGACCAWTGTCATGGAGTTCCATCACCATTTTGTAGGGTTGGGCAATATTGGCAAAAAAATTAATCACGATTAATTGTGGTATTTAGCCGATAACGATTGATTTGGCGATTARTTCTCTGGAGTTCCTGGACACCCTTATGTCCTAGTCACATGACTAATTTAGTGGGAAAGATTTGCTCTTCATAAAAATCATTTCCAAATGGTGTCAAAATTACAAATTTCAGGCTATACATCAAATTTTTAAATTGTGTTGATAGAGAAATAAATTATAGAACTTTTTTTAATGTTCGTCATATTTGAAGCGGAGAGGAGCACAGAGCGGACTGACTGGTGGCATTAATCGTATTAATTGTCAAGTGCCAAAAAATAATCGATTAATGTTTTTCTGACGATTAATTGCACACGATACGATTATGCCAAACCCTACCATTTTGTGGTGGTTGAGCAGATTGTGCCCAGTAAGGACTCCAACCGTTGTGCTTAAAATTTTCCTTGTCAGGGCGATGAGAGCTTTCCCAAACCTAAGATTTGGTCCATTTATCAGTTCCAGTGCCTTTCTACAGTCTGTCAGCTCCCTCCAGTGGATTGAGTGTTGACATCTAATCCAGGCCTGAAAGGCAGTCCTAAAGACTGTTAAGATACCAACAACAGGCTCTGGTCCTTTAAAGTGAGCCTGACTGCCATCTGTTGCAAAGTAAGCTGCTCTCTCGTTATACCAATATATCCTGGTAACCATTTAACAGTAACRCTGTTATCTCTCCCCAGCTTRGCTATCTGTTAGTATAAATATTTCCTTCTGTGTACACTGAAGGTCTTTGAGAGATGCCACACACTGGTGGATTGCRTATATCTCAGCCTGAGATATGCTAAACCACCTAGTAGGTGTCTGTACTGTCTCCCACTATGATTGTGCAAAATCAGCACCCCTACACCTACTGACCCCTTCAGAAGSGATCCATCTGTAAAACAATAGAAATCATTGGAAGACATGTCCACCATAGAGAAATTTATCTTCAATCTCTGTCTTAAATCTTGGCTCAAGTTTATGTTTTATGGCCCTTCTGTATCCAGGTCCTGCAGTTACTGGAACAGCAGCAACTGCCCAGTCCCAGATTGTATTGTGCTGTGAGTCAGAGAGGCTTTTCCACCTACCAGAGTGGTGTGACCTCACTTCACTGGATGTGGCCTCCCCTAAGATCTATTAATCCAGTGGAGTCAGGTCCTGTAGGACTTCTGGGGCAGCCGTGGGCGTTGTTCTGGTAGAACAAAGGTATAAAACCTAAAATCTGAGCTCTGGTCAACATACTAACTTTACTGAACCTTAAAAAAAAGGTTATATTATTTTTCTAACAGACTAAATTCAATTTCTTGTGCATATGCTTTTCTGAAGTGAGGGAAACAATTTCCTCGACCTCTGTTTTTATTTTTACTCTGGGACTTGGTGRGCTTCATAGTGAGCTGCTGTTACAATTTAAAATTAAAAAAAGACTTCATTTTTGCACAACCTTTCTAGAAGTTACAGAAAATTTCTTTATTACTTCTATTAATTTACCCTTTTGGTTGTTTAACTTCATCATTAATTTTATTTATTTANGTCTCACACATAAAAATTAAAAAAAATTGAATTTTTACATGTATTAGTCAGTGTTAGACTTTTATAGTTTCAATAAGGTTTTTGAAATTTTATATTTCTCATTCTATCATATTAAATTTGTGTTTAGTGATACTCACCACAGTAAAACAGTGTTTTCACATCTAACTGGTCAAACTGGTACAAATCAGAACTCCTTTTCAGAATCTGCCAGTCAACAGGTCACACATTCTACAGTTAGGGTCTTTGTCAGGAAGGTGTTCACACAGAAGGAAATCTGTAGTGAACTCACCTGAGCATGAAGATGCAGAAAGGATTCTGCGATATCAGGATGTTCCCTCGGACCTGACAAATATAAAAATGTCAGATTAACAAAAGGTTTTCAGTCCTCCTTTATTTTTTATATTTTACAGCCAAGCAGCCAGACTTTCTTGTAACCTTTTAATGTGTTCCTGATCAATAGTTCTTCATGCTTTCTTGTGTCTGTTTAAATAGACGAATGTTTTGTCCAGTGTTGGACAAATTGAAACAATCTCTCCATCGGTCGGTTTTCTTCTGGTTATCTGAGGTCAGGTTGCAGAGGTCCAGACCTCTCTCTACCCAGCAGATAATCCCATGGTGTTCCATGCAGGAGAGGAGATTTAATCTGAGTCTGCTCAGGGGTTTTCTTCCAATGGGATATGAATGAGAGGAATACTGTTCAGATGCCTGAACCACCACAGTCGACTCCTTTCAATGAGGAGAAGGAGCAGCAGCTCTACTTCAAGCCCTCCTCAGATGATGGAGACCCATCTCTAAGGTTGAGCCCAGTCCCCATAAGAAAGGAGTTAGGGTTAGGGATGTTTAAAACAACACAACTGACTGAAATTAATTTATACCATTCTGAGTAGGCCATTTTATTTAAATTAGTGTGGAAGCAGGGAAACAGTTAAAACATGCAGGACAGTGGGTCACGAGGAACAGGGTTGAAGACCTTTGGACTGGAGCAAGACCTTCATTGCTGCAGACAAGGGCCCCAACTTTTTCTGTCCTCTCAATGTCCAGACAACCATTTCCCAATAGTTTATTTAAAAAAAATCACCAAAACAAGTTCATTTGAATATTAAAATACAGTATAACTCAACTCTTCAAATAAAAAAATTGCAACTACGTATTGACTTTATTCTTTTATTATTTTGATAAAGAGAAAAAAGTTGAGTGTGTTTTTGGGAGAGTTGGTGAGTGCTTGGCTTGGGCTGGGTGGGGGGGGGGGGGGTGTTTGAGGAAAATAGGTTGGGAACAACTGCCTTAAGGCAGGAAGACTGTTCATCTTGGTTCTGGTTCTGGTGGAGGTTTGTTCCTGTTAAAAACAAGTCATTCTTCACTGTCGCCCTGTGCTTGTTCAGGATGAGGGGCTGCATTAAAGTGAGGATTTGATGCAGTCAGCAGGCTTCTTTAGACGACTATTTACTAATTGGTATTTTGTTACTTTTTCTGATTCTATTATAATTGGATTGACCTAAACTGTATGTTACATCTTAAATTCACTTTAATTTGTTTTTCTGTATGTATTGTGTCCTGACTGAACTGAATGGTTTAAATTTCAGTTCAGTTCAGTTCAGTTCAGTTAGTTTATTCATTTCTTTGAAAAAACAACATAAATTCAACATACAACAAAAATACAAATCATAAATTAAATGAAAGGTAGCAGAAGAAGATAAAATCTTATTTTATCTGCCCATTTTTCTCAAATAACTAATTTCAATCAAAAATAATCTTTAGTTTATAAAAAGGAAGAAAGAAAAAAATGCAAAGGTTTAACTCCTTGAACAACAATTCATACATTTACATATTTCTCCAGCAAATTATTCTTTATCATTCTCTTAAATATACTCATTGATCTGGCATTTTTAATGTCATCTTCCAGATTATTCCCTAATCTTATACCCTGGACTGAAGTATTCTGTTCCTTTAGACTGGTTCTAAATTTGGTTTTAACAAACATCTCTATCCCTTTGAGATTATAAAAACCTTCTCTTTTAACAAAGTGTAATTGAATATTTGAAGGTAATGTGTTTTTATGAGCCCTATACACTGACTGATAAAATACCATAGTTAACCAAATCATATAATTTCAATAACTTCATCTGATGGAACAATGAATTTGACGGGTGATAGTAATGCTTTCTGGTGATAATTCTTACAGCTCTTTTCTGTAAAACCAAAATTGGGTTTGCAATTGTTTTGCATGATTCCCCCCAAACATTAATACAGTAGATCAAGTGTGGAACAATTATTGCATTATATAATATAAACAGACCTTTATCATTAAATTTACTTTGTACAATACTGCAATGGATTTGGCTATTTTTGTTCTTAAATGATGTACATGAGGGCTCCATGTCAGCTTTTTTTTTTCCTATTGCTTGTTTTCTGTAGCGCTCCTGGGTTCGGTCCTGTCATTCATCGCCTCAGTTCTGTCTATCAGTCTGCCTAACTATTTCTCTGTCTTTTGTCTTTTATCTCGCTCACGTAGCACAGTGTGAGTTTTGGTGCGCCTGTTATTATGCCAATTATCTGCTGAGCTGCTTTGGCTCAGAGTAAGTGTAGGGGAGTCTTTTGGGGATGAACCTCTTTAAAATTCCAAATGAAGAGCTGGGATTCACCAGCAGCTCTTTAAATAATACAAAGCACTTGATCTCATTCAGGTTCTCAGTAATGGACAGTTTTACTCAGTCAAACTCTTTCCACGCACCATTAAGCAGACGGCTTTCTTTCACGGTCAGCAGTTTTATTTATCGAAATACCCCCCAAACAAAAAGATGGTTACAGTGTGTCAAAATGTGACCCATTCCTTCAGCATCTTTAGTAAGATTTTGTTTTTAGAGTTTTCATATTTATGTTTGTCAGTTTTTGTAACAAGTTAATTACTTGTCTTGTTACAAAAAGCTTTTAGTGAAAAAAAAAATAATTGTTTCACTTCAAGTAACAAATGGAGCAAATTTCTTTTAGTGCTCAGGCTTTGCCATTTCCCCTTCCACCCTTTWTTCCCCACTGTTTTAAACATTAAAAATACTATTTCATCATTACCTCGATGCCTCTTGGACATCAGTTCATCTTCTCCCCAGTGAGCTGAAATGTCGAGCGCACTTTTTCCACATTACCGGTGTTCATATTTAGCAGTCGTGCACTGAGGCGTTGATACACGTCTCTGCGGGAAAGTGAGACTTTTCTCGGGTCAATGTCCTCAAACTGAGATGATGATTCACCAAAACCTACCGATCCCGCCGTATCGCCATCCTGCATTACTGCCCTTCAGCTTTCTGAATCAGTGTGTGTGGTGTCATCACTCTGAATGTGGCTTTGGGCTTAGAACACACACACACACACACATGTGCTCCTCTGCACTACGAGTGGAGAGTGACCCTGATGCGAGCCTCAATCTGTGAATGGTGTCATCTGTCTGACAGATGCTCAGATCCTCTTATGGGATGTCATGAAGAAGACGGAGAGGTTTGCTTTTTAGCTAAAGTGAATGTTAAAGCATCACTGTTCAAAGTGCTTTATTTTGAAAGATCCCTCCAAGGTCAATTAAGTAGATTCATTTATACACAGTGTGGTTTGAACAACCCAATCACATGTGTWTAAAGGCTTAGATTTTTTTGAGCAGATTAATTTTTTCTTTCTCTTTTGTCATTGTWTTTGATGTTATTTATGGAGTCACAAAGAAAATTAGAACTAAACGAGTGTTGTAGAAATTTTCTTTGATGTCACTGATGTTTCAAACTGAACACATTATTTAACGACTTGGAAACATTACAAAGAAGTAAATAAAAGAAACACTTCTTATTGTTTTTACCATTTTGTTGTCACTATTTAATCATTTTGTCTTTAAAAATGCACTTATTCTTAAAATTAACAATAACAAATTATATCCTTATTTCTACCAATTTTATTGTAAATGTAAATGATTGTTTAGCAAGGAGGTTTATAGAAGGAAGCTGGAGAGTAAACTGAAAAGGAACAATACCAGAGATGTGAGGTCAGGGATGAAGAAGATCACAGGTTTCAAGCAAAAGGAGAATCAGATGGATAGAAGTCTGGACAGAGCAAATGAGCTGAACACATTCTTCAACAGGTTCAGCTCAGGAACAAGCTCATCTTCCTCCTCTCTTGCCCCCAGCCAAACAGACATCTCACCCTCCTTTGACCCACAGCTTTCCTGTCAAACCTCAGATGTTTTATCTTCAACCTCAGTCATGGACTTTTCTTCTACATCCACAAGTTTGTCTTCAACTAAATCAGGAGATGCTGCTGCCTCCCCCTCCCACTTTTCTGTATCTAGAAGTCAGGTGAAGAGGCAGCTAGAGAGACTGAACCAGAACAAGGCTGCAGGTCCAGATGGTGTCAGCACCAGAGTCCTGAAGGACTGTGCAGACCAGCTCTGTGGGAT